TAAAACTAAAAACTATAAAAAATCTTTCAATAAACACCAAAATTCCTAAAAAAACTTATAAAATTCAACAGTAAAATATTGATCAAAGATCACTTTCAACATTTACTAAAAAAACTTCTTGTAATCCTCTAGATCCAAAAACTACAAGAAAATTCACCAGTAAAACACCAAAAGACCCAAAAACAATCCAAATTCAAGAAAACTTGAAGAGCATATCAGTAAAATGCTGAAAGATCAGAAAAATCAGAAGACCAGAAAGACTACAAGAAATTTCATCAGAAAATCATTGAAATACAAATTAATTAGTAAAATCTGAAAGAACAGAAAAAAACCCCAATAACACAAAATTACCAGAAAAACCAGAAGACCAGGAGACCACAAGAAATTTCACCAAAAATCATTGAAAGAAAATTACCAGAAAAGCTGGAAGATCAGGAGAGACTACAAAAAATCTTACAAGAAATCGTCGAAAGACCTAAAAACAAAGAAAATTTAATTAGTAAAACTCGAAAGAACAGAAACAAGACTCAGCAACACAATTACAATTACCGGAAAAGCCAGAAGACCAGGGAGACCACAAGAAATTTTACCAGAATTGTCAAAAGACCTAAAGAAAAGAAAACTAATTAGTAAAATCTGGAAGAACAGAAAAAACCCCAACAATAAAAATTACCAGAAAGCCGGAATATCAGAGAAGACCACAAGAAATTTCACCAGAAAATCACCGAAAGACCTGAAGACAAAAAATTAATTAGTAAAATCCAAAAGAACAGAAAAAAAACCAAACAACACAATTAAGATTACCAGAAAGCCAGAAGTCCAGGAGAGACCACAAGAAATTTCACCAAAAAATCGCTGAAAGACCTAAAGACAGAAAATTAATTAGTAAAATCTGAAAAAACAGAAAAAAACCCCAACATAACTAAAATTACCAAAAAGCTGGAAGACAAGGGGAGATCACAAGAAATTTCACCAGAAATCGACGAAAGACCTGAAGACAAAGAAAATTAATTAGTAAAATCTGGAAGAACAGAAAAAACCCAACAACACAATTAAAATTACCAGAAAGCTGAAAGACTAGAGAGACCACAAGAAATTTCACAAAAAAATTGCTGAAAGACATGAAGACAAAGAAAATTAATTAGTAATTCTAGAAGAACAGAAAAAACCCAATAACACAATTAAATTACCAGAAAGACCACAAGAAATTTCACCAGAAAATCGTTGAAAGACCTAAAGAAAAGAAAACTAATTAGTAAAATCCGGAAAAAACAGAAAAAAAAAACAATTACCATAAAAGCCGGGAGACCACAAGAAATTTCACCAGAATCATCGAAAGACCTAAAGAAAAGAAAATTAATTAGTAAAATCCAAAAGAACAGAAAAAACCCAACAACACAATTAAAATTACCAGAAAGCCGGAAGACCAGGAAGACCACAAAAAATTTCACAAAAAAATCACCAAAAAACATGAAGACAAAGAAAATTAATTAGTAATTCTGGAAGAACAGAAAAAAACCAATAACACAATTAAATTACCAGAAAGACCACAAGAAATTTCACCAGAAAATCATCAAAAGATCTAAAGAAAAAAAAACTAATTAGTAAAATCCGGAAAAAACAGAAAAAAAAAAACAATTACAATTACCATAAAAGCCAGGAGACCACAAGAAATTTCACCAGAATCGTCAAAAGACCTAAAGAAAAGAAAATTAATTAGTAAAATCCAGAAGAACAGAAGAAACCCAACAATATAATTAAAATTACAGAAAGCCAGAAGATCAGGGAAGACCACAAGAAATTTCACCAGAAAATCGAAGGACCTGAAAACATAAAATTAATTAGTAAAATTCAGAACAGAAAAAAAAACCTAACACAATTAAAATTACCGGAAAGCTAGAGACCAGAGGAGATCACAAGAAATTTCACCAGAAATTGACGAAAGACCTGAAGACAGAAAATTAATTAGTAAAATCCAGAAGAACAGAAAAAACCCAACAACACAATTAAAATTACCAGAAAGCCGGAAGACTAGGGGAGACCATAAGAAATTTCATAAGAAAATTGCTGAAAAGCCTGAAGACAAAGAAAATTAATTAGTAAAATTTGAAAGAACAGAATAAAAACGAATAACATAATTAAATTACCAGAAAAGTCAGAAGACCAGGAAAGACCACAAGAAATTTCACCATAAGACCTGAAGACAAAAAATTAAAATCCGGAAAAACAGAATAAAGAAAATAATTGTTAAATCATAATCCACTAGTGCTAGATTTAAGACAAGAATCATTAACAAGAAATCGTTGTATGGAATTTTCTAATGTTATTTTTAGATTGTAATTTTGGATGATCACGTGGTAAGCCACAGTTTTTAAACCTGATTTACTCAAAATTGTTTATATGTAAAAATGGTTCTTTTTCATACGAGACACCCCATATAGTCTAAAATTAATCAGTTTTTAATAGATATAGTTAGATTTATAGTAGGTATATTGGTAGTATTGATTTATAATATAAATTAAATACTACAATAATATAGTTCTTATTTTTAAATATTATCAAATAAAATTTTATTTAGATATTTTAAAACTTAAAAAAAAAGTAGATCATAAGTATATTTTTTAATAATTTTTTAGACAAATTTGCCTAGAAAAGCCTACAGATTAAGTGATAATTTTGTCAATTATATATTAGTTTAAGAATATTAATTAAGTACATGTAATTTCTTATTAAAAACTTTTCTAATAAAGTTTCTATACTTGTAAAATTGTTATTATAAGCTGGGTGAAGAGTTTTATAAAACATGATTTATTTTACTTCGTAGTTCAATGATTATCAATTTTGTTATATCATGTGCTGACAATATAGTTTCTGGTAAGTTTCTGGTTGGTTGACTGTCGCATGACCCGTGCTTTTCCGAAAAATTTGAAAGTCCCCCTTGCTCATCTTTGGTCACGATAAATATTTTCAATGATTTTAGTCTTGACTTTCGACATCATGTAAAATAATGTTAAAAACTATGGCTCGACCTTTTATTTTTCTGAGAGTTTCGTCTTTTATTAGGGCTTCGGAGATTTCATCTTTCGCCAGAAGCTCCGTCTATCACCAGAAGTTTCGTTTTTTGTCAGGAGAATCGTCAGTTTCGCCAAATAATAATATGAAAATTGAGATAACAGACCGAGCAGCTAAAGTAAATTTTAGTAATTTTGGTTTAATCTTTTTTTTTCTGGTTTTAAATATTTAAGCTGTGTCTTTTTTGCGAAAACTGTATTTAGCAACTCAATTTTATAGCACATCGGGAAAAAAAACCCAATAATGCATTAAGAATAGCGATTGATTCAGGTGGTTGTCATGGTTTTCAATATTTTTATGACCTAATGGATTCAAATACTACCAAAGAGAATGATGTGTATGGTTTTTTTCTTTTTTTTTTAATACAAACTTTAACATGTTCAAAATATAAAATTATTAAACATTTGATTTATTAATAGTGTTTTTGAGAAAAATGGTGCAAAAGTAATAGTAGACACAATTTCTTTAGAAATGATTAAGGGTTCAAAAATAGATTATACTGAGGAATTGATCGGTTCGCAGTTTCAAGTTGTAGACAATCCTCAAGCTGCATCTGGTTGTGGGTAAGTTATCTTATATCTATTGTGGAGACCAACATGAGGCTGGTACAGTTAGATTCAAATCTTTGAGTTGTCTTGGGTCCCAGCAATAAGTAACAATAAGTAGTATATACCAGATTTCAATACAATATAGGAGCAAAACTATGTAGCTTATCACTATATTGGTATCCGCATAAAATAGTATCCAACGTAGGCCTTATTCCTAGTACCCAGATCATTATATCATGATCACGGTATATTATCATTACGAATACTTAGTGTATATGTTGTAAGTGGGAACGGAATCTAGATTGATTTGAATTTACAATTTTAAGGTAGAATTTATTTAATACAAACCTATACCCTAATCCTAAAAATTTTAAGAATTCCAAATCCACTTAAATTCCGTTCCTACTTACAGTATATATACACCATGGGCAAACGAAATTGTCATCATATTCTTTTTTATCCCTTAAATCTTCTATTATTATAGTGTAGCCTAAAATGAGCTGCAATATAGACTATAGTTCATTAGCTAGATAATGGATTAATCACTATAAATTGCGGAAAAATTTGCCTATAAGACGACAAGGCTAGAGATGTCGGTGAAATTAATTTCACCAAAATTCACCAATTCAACATCAATTTCACAATAACGGCGAAATTATCTCACCACTGGTTTAATTTCACCAACACCTTTAGATAGAACCCTAGATAGTGTTACCAACCTAAAAGTTTCACTGTTATTAATGTTACGGTTTTGGTGAATTTTTGTTTCTATGTTACACCTTGTCTTGAAATTTGATTTGACCAGACAGCAATTTTTTAGGATGGTGGTTATCCGCCTTACCATAATGCAAAAAGAACTATATTATCACTCGTTCGAGCCATTATCCTAAAGATGAATATTTAACGAATACTACCTCACGCTGGTCCCTCACATTTACTTTCACGATTTAATATTTTATAATTTTGATGCTTTAGATGCGGTGTTAGTTTTGAAATCAAAATATAGAGTTTTAAAAGTTCCTACTCGCACAGTAATAAGCTTTTCACTGATTTACGTATGTTTTTTCTATTTATCACCTGTGTATATAAATAAAATTTTAATAAACTATTTTGCAGGTTCTAATAAAAAAACGTTTTGTGAATATTAAGTATAAATATTTTTTTATTCTAGTTCTAATTTTAATCTTTAAATATGGTTCTACTATAAAATCCCGACATTAAAATCTCAAAATCCATAATTCAGACATCACGCGACGCGACAATTAACATTTAAAGCCTGACAATGATTGTTCATATGATTATTAATCTTTAAATATTAATTGTTACGCCGCGTGATGTCGGGATTATGGTTCTCGAGATTTTAGATGTCGGGATTTTATGGTAGAACATTTAAATACAATCAGACCGCGAAATAGTCATTGCTAAGTATAAAAATAAGGTTTACCAACCAATATAAAGCATAAGAAAATTAACCTTTGTATAGGCACAATTACATTAGTCGCATTGAATTTTGGTTACCAGCCCGGTGATTATTTAAATGTATGTTTTAGCGATTTAAATTTGATTATTGCAAATCATTAGTAATAATTATTATTAATAATAAAATAAAGTAATTTTTATATTTACAGTATATTTAAAAATAATGTTTTATTATAAATGTAATACAAGATAATTTTTAATTTTAAGTTTGTTATAGTTATTCAAATGATATTGTTATAGGTGAAGGTTTTTTAATTTCACATTATAATGATGACATAGCACAGAAATTTTCTTACAGGTATATATAATATTTAAAAGGAAAAATATTGTTTCTGTTAGACATTGTTAAGGTAGTTTAAAAAAAATAATGTAGTAATAATGATTTTACTTTAATTATTAAAAAAGAAATAAATCTTATTTATATAAATTATCTTTTTTTTTTTTTTTTTTTGTTAAAGATCATACTTTATAGTGATACTTTATTGACTTATATTGGATTAGTTATTATAATTATTTTTACAAAGATGAGAGTACAACTAGTCACATATATAACTTTTGGTTACCTATTTAAGTAGTCCACTCTAAGGTTCTACATTAAGTACTGTATCTATAACCTACTAGAAAATTACCTATTTAAACCTTCTAACCATCTGCTCTGTCATAATGTAACCTCAACTAACCCCTCATATATACCTAACTGGTATATTGTCTGAGCAGTATGGTACCTACCTTTTTTGTATTGATTCTCAGATCATTACACATTTTTGAGTACATTATCTACTAGTAAAATGTAGAGGATTTCTCATTGCTAACTATCTATTTATTTTTAGAACACTAATAAGGGTTATCTTTACAGAGTTCATCCAAACCCTAGTACTAACTTCACAGCATATCTCTAGTATTTTTAGTATACTTCTGCTTTGCTCTTAGATTCCTAATTCAGATAGCCTAGAAGAATTGTGATCTATTCTTGATATATTAAGACTGGCCCAATATTTTTTTCCTTTAGTCTAAAATTCAGTGGTCTAATTGATAATATCTCTTATCTGAGATTCTTGCTTATCTGATTTTGTCATATTAGTATCCATTTTCTAGGTTTAGTCTTTATAATAGTATTGTTGAAGATTTGTATTACTTTTTTGCTTAGAATTTCTAAATAAGCTTCAGCTTTTCAGTTCTACAAATTTATATAGCCCAAGCACTTATTTTAAATTTACATCACCTAATATTAGTTTGCATTTCTTTGTATAATTAAAGTTATACAGATACTTCAGACCTGCCAATCATGCTAATGCGACCATAGTTACAGATATTCTATCTTAACTAATCAATAGAATATTATCACTATAATACCATTTATATATTACATAAGTAATTATCCAAATTTTACTATTAATAGGTTTTGAACTTACAACCTACCACTTAAGAGGATGACAACTTATCTACTTCACTAAGTTATCACATTTACTATATAAATTATTTTTAAAAAAGAATATTAATATAGTTTATAATCAAAGTTGTTTATTAATATATATAAATATAAAAGTTATTTTTAGGTTTTTGTTTTTAAAAATTTTAAATATATATTTGTTATTTAATCTAACTTAAAAAATATAAAAAAGTGAAGTATAATAATCTAGTAAAGTAAACAGGTTATCAATCTTTAAGTGACAGATCTAATATTCAAATTTTATAAATAATGAATTTTGAAAATTATACTTATATTACAGTACTGTTTTTTATTGATCAGTTAGATTTATATGTCTGTAACTTTAAGTACATCAAATTAGGTCTTATTTAATATTAAAAGTTTAGAACATCTATGTAAAATATGTCATATATATATATATATATTTTTTAAAAAAATATTAAAGATAAGCTTATATTTCTGTCTTTATTAAAATTTAGTTAAATTTTTTATAAATAAAATATATAGAACAAAAATTTATATTTGAATTTTATATCTATAAGATATTAAGATTAAAAGCTAAACAAGTTATCTATAATCTAAACCTACCAGAATAGTCAAAACTCATCTAAATTTCAAAGTTTGTAATTATAATAAAAGAGTTTATTTAGTATTTAATCTATTGAAATATTACAGTATATTTAGTATTTAATCTATTGAAATATTACAGTATATTTCAATTTTAAGACAAACAATTAAGTATAATGCATGTTGAATTAATGTATTTTAAGAAATATAAATATTGAAATTGATTGAAGTTGTATACTATATTAAGACCTAAAAGTGCAATATGGTATTTAGATTTAGTATAAATTTGTTGATTAAAATAAAGCAGTAATTTAATAAAAAATATAGTAGTAATTTTAATAAACAAAGTAATATCTTTGATTAAATTAATTAGATTATAAAAGATTAATTTAAATATTATTAATAATAATAAATGTGAATTGACTATGTTATAATTTTTTTTTTCTTAAGTAGTTATGATAGTACTTTATTAAACTATTTGTAATTACATATATAAATACAGCATATTATTTAACTTATAATTCTATCATTATCTAGTCACCCAAATGGTATCTAAATACAACCTGTCATACTAATTCAGTTAGGACTAGAAATTATGACTTGTCTGACTTATGCTTTATAATAGAATACCACCAATCTAAAGACATCTTTTTATAGAAAAAAGGAAAAAAAAAAAAGATTTTAAAGTTAAAAAAGGGAAGAATAAAAATAAAAAATAAATAAAACTAATAAAAAAAAACAAAACTAATCTATAAAAAGAAAAAAAAAATTTATTAACAGAATAAAACTCTATTCTATAATTGTTATTTACTATAATGTTTTTATATTTTTATGAACTATGTTTATTCTCTAAAAACTAGATACTCTTAATCAGAATAAAACTGTATTTACTTATAAAATAGAGTTCAAGCTAGACACTTTCTATATAGAAGAAATCTTTAAGTAGTTGGAGTACTGTGCCAAGGTTTGAATTGCACTTAAGCAACTCAATTCTTTATAAACTCCTATAACTATTTTTTTAAAAAATATTATACACATAGCCTTAGAATATATACATATCATCAATAAAGTTAAAAGCATGACCTCACTATTAATATTTAAAAAATATATATATATATATATATCTCAATATATTTTTGGTCTTTCCAATTTAAATCCTTTTCTGATTTACTTTATGTGGTTAACTAACTTATATATATGTTGTGTTTCTTATTTACCATATCCAAACAAGCATGTAACTGCAAAAAAAAGTAATCACAATATCAATCTTTTGATGAAGATGAGCCAAATCTTTACTTTTTTTTAAAAAAAAAACAAAAAAAAGATGAAGAGAGAGTATATTATTGTTATAAAAATTTAAGTTAAGATGAGTTTTTTTAGTTATTCTTTTTTTTTCTGCTTCTAATATTCTTAACCAAAAAACTAATTTTGTTTTTACTTAGTTTTAAAATATTTTTTTAGTTTAAATGCTAAATATATAAAAAAATCTATCAGACAAAAAACTTAACTCAAGACAAGAACCACTCAAGTTTTATCTACTCTTC